GTAAGGACCTGGTGAAAGCAAATCATTCAGAAACAAACTTTGTTAGATAAGAAATCTATAAACACTCCAGAGAGCCTACTGTTGGAGATAAACTGACATCACATTTCAGGTTTTTCTTTTGCAGTTTTATTTTTAAAATGTCTCCTTGAACTTTTAAGGCTTGTTTTTAAAAAACTAAAAAGTGTCCTGTAATTTTTTGAAACTTGAAATGTTTCCTTTTTTTTTACTTTTAAAGTATTGAAACTAAAAGTGTTTAATCACGATTTTTTTTTGCCTTATCGTAAATATAAAAACGCCTTAGTTGTATTAAAAGAATAAAACAAGAAAAAAGGACTATTTAAGTACTAAAACCAAAATTATTTTTCCTTTTCTTTTATTGTATTCCTTGATCATTGTTAAAGAATATTTTCGTTGCATTGTGTTGTATGAAATTGATGTTAAAGGGTTTTGTTGATTTGTCCTGTTCACTCTTCTTGCCATGAAGCGTGTTTGTCTGATGCGAGAGAAATATACCATAAATTCACAGCTGGGGAGTAAATATTATTATGTCATTAGATTTAAAGTTAGGTACGGCTAAAGTGGTCTAAACGTAAAAGGTAAGATAAATGTGATAGTAAAACATACCAAGTATTTCCTTTCCTGTTACTTTAGAAAGATAAAGGTTTTTTGTTCCCTAAATATTTCGACATTTCGTGTTATACGCATTGGCGCATGTGTTGAATGTATAGTGTGCAGATAATCGGTTTGGAAACCCAGTGACCTTATTCTAGTTCTAGTCACACATTGTCAAAGTTCATTCCCTCTTTGGTATTTCTAAACCTTCCCACAGAAAGTGTCTCTGGAAAAAGTTTAGACTCTTTGTGTAGAAGTTTTAAAATACATGAAAACTGTCTCTTCAAAATTCTTTAAAATAGGAATGACCAGATGATGTGGCTGATAATGCTTTTTGCAAGATTTGATGCTGTTTAAAGAAGTACATAACAGTTAATTTTCTGTCTTTTTCTATTTTTTTCTTATGGCACAGATCTCTTTCAATTTTTTAGAGAGAAGAGCGATCGTCCATTGTCTGATGAGCTTATCTTCTTATTGAATTAAATTTTCTTATGTGATATTTCATAAACAAAGTTTTTGCTAATTGTGAAAATTTTATCGGGTTTTTACCTTGATCCAGTTTTCATTTTAACTCAACACATTTTTTGCTAGGGTGGCTACTGGTCTTATCTGTAAGTTGTCATTATACCTGAGAATATTAATCTTATTTGCCTCTAATGACCCAACGGTAAGTCTGCCGACTTGCAACGCTAAAAATTTGTGGTGGGCACAGCACAGATAGCCCATTGCGTAGTTTGGTACTTAACTGCAAACAAACAGTTTTGTTTTAGAAAATTTGTGTAATTCTGCTGTAACTTGTTAAAATAAAAAACAATTATTACATTTAACATAAAATGATTTTATTCAATTATTAGATCTCATATTATTATCCATTTTTTCTAGTCCAATCTGTCTGGTATGGCCAGGAGATTCGGTTATAATGTGACAGTCAATCCCACTATTCGTTAGTAAAAGAGTAGATCAACAGTTGGCGGTGGTGACTAGCTGCCTTCCTTCTAGCTTTTCACTTCTAAATTAGGGGCGGCTAGCGCAGATAGCTCTCGTGTAGCTTTGCGCGAAATTCGAAACAAACCAAAACCAAAC